CCTTTCTGTTACTGAACTTGGAGCAAAGTCCAAATCTGTAAATATTTGAGGGTTAAATGGGTGGATGCCACAGGAAGAAAATCCGCTCAGTATGTTATTTGGTGTCATGCTCAATGGAAAGGCAACCTTAACTATCTCTGGAATATTGTAAATTGTCATACCCTTTTCAGAGTTACTGACCATCCAACTATTGATGGCTGTATTTACAGCCTTTTTAAAAGGAAAAAGGTGGAATACTGTTACCAATAGCAGAAGCAACACATGCCAAGGTAACTAAAGCACCTCTTTCTGCTGAGGTTATTGCCCCAACTTGCTTTTGGCCCTTTCTTGAGATCACTTAATCAGGCTTTTGAACTGTAGTTACTACTGTTTCGTCCATGTTCCAAATATCTGCTGGTGTGAATTGGTGACGTTGAAGACACACCTGAAGATTATTGAAAAACATTTCAACATTGTGTTTGTTGAAACTTATGGCACGTGCAATGCTTGTGGCCTCTGGAGCTCTTAAAGACAATGTTGGATTTTTTTGTAGGAAAGACGTAAACCAATCTCTCCTAGCATAATGATTTTCCATCCATGATTTTGGCTTTGCCAATTTATTAGAATCTGCTAAATGATATGCTAGTTTCCTAACATCTTTTGGTGTAAAGCCATAGTAAATATCTGAAGCTCTTTGCAAGTAGCTACAGAGTTCAAGATGAAGCACCTGTGTCAACACTTGCTTGAAATAATAAAAAATATATATCAGTATAAATACTTATTTTACAATAACAAATATTATAATCCTTAAACATATTAACAATCTACAAACCTAGGTTGTACGTAGCCAGTGTGAAATGAAGGTATTGTCGATTTTTCTTGAAGATCTTCTGTAGAGGCTTTTGACAAATAGCGTTGTAGGCTTCTATAGTTGATGTTGAAATCTAGAGACACCTGGGCTATGCTTCTGCCACGTAACTTTACAGCTTTCACTGATTCAAGGATTGTGCATTTAGAAGTGGTATCTCTACTGGTTTTCCTTATTATAATTGCGAGCCATGATTTAAAATCTGATAAAGCAAAAAAAAAAAAAAAATTGTTAGGATAAAAGTCCAAGTAAGCAAAACTTTATAACTGTCTAATGTCTATAACTATCACTATCATTTATTAATGTTTACTAAGGCTTATTATTAATCTTGAATATTATGCCCAATTCATTTTATTGATGTTTAATACTTATAATAAGCATTGTATGTATTATTAACATTCATTTAAGACTTTTACAACTATATGAAAGATGGAGGCAATTTTTTTTATATGACAACTTGCCCTCTTTAAAATAGGACAACTTGCCCCACAGGGGGTAGAGGAAGGTTTGACCTAAATAACTTTTTATCCTTGCCGTGAAACTGAAAAATGACTAGCACACCAATAAAGGAATTTCCAAAACTATAAACATTTTAATGTATTAAACACAAATATTGCATATTGTTACTGTATTGAACATTTGAACAAAAAAGTTAAAAAGTTACTTACCAACGAAATTTTTACTTTTTTTGGATTTGTAGAAAAACTATTCGCGCGAATTTCATGAAATCAATTGAGCAGTCATCTTTCAGCACCATTTATAAAATATTAAAAAATCGCAGCATCAATCCAGCTATAACACTCCGAAATAGCGACTATGACAACTAACCCTTATGACTTTTAGCCCCGCTCTTCCCTACATTGAAATATGCCATACGAAGCGAGTTTATGGAAAAGACCAGTTTGCCAGGCTTTAAAAAAAGTCAAAAATGTCAAATATATATATATATATATATATATATATATATATATATATATATATATATATATATATATATGTATATATATATATGTATATATATATATATATATATATATATATATATATATATATATATATATATATATATATATATATATATATATATATATATATATATATATATATACTGATTAATGTTAAAGCGTTAAAAAGCCGGAAAAAATGACAAAATAGTTGAAATAGTGACTTATATGTACCTGATGGATTTTAAAAATTAAAATTTTATACATATTTTATGAATAAATTTTTTCTTTAATCCTGTTTTTCTCAGAATAGTAATTTATGCATGCTGGCCAATATATAAGGAACGTTTAATTTTTTTCTGCAAAATTTTTAAGAAGTGTTTATCATGTCATACTCTATGCAATGAATGGATTTTTTTTTTCCATAAAGAAAAGAAAAATTGACACTAAACTTTAGTCGTGGTCTTTGATCTTTAGCTGTTGTTGTGGTATCAAAAAGTTATGAAAAAACCTGTTCCACTTATATCACAGCCCTGCCTAATGACAATATGCTTTAATTTTTAATGGTAAAAATTTGCACTTTTTTAATGTTTTGACCGACATAAAGTTATTTTTTGGTCATTTTAGGGGTATTAAGTAACCGCAAAAAACACCCAAAATAAGCAGAAATTAAGATTTGCGCTGTCCAAGTTTTAGCAAAAACTAATAAAAAAGACTCACGAAAAAAAAACTAATAAAAAAGACTCATTCTAAATGTGTTTCCAAAGTTTCACGCCGTGCGTGAAACTTTGGAAACACTATTAGAATAGATCTATTTGTGTTTTAAATAGAACAAATATTTTTTTTTAATGGACTCGGTCTGAAGACTTGTGATCTAAAGTTGACAGTAGAAAAAAGTGCATTTTTTGAAAAATTAAATTAGTCACACTGTTTTTTACCTAAGTGTCACAAAATTCTGTTTCATTTAAAACACAGCTCTTATTAAAAGGAAAATTTGTTGTTTGAAAATTTTAGATAAAATGCTCGTGGTTCTCTTGGAATTTTGGCCAGCATATTGAAAAACCTCAAACTGAGAAAACGCATAAAAATTGAAACAAAATGATAATAAATCTACAAATATATGTAACATTATATATTAGACTATATTTAAAACTAAAAACCTCCTGCTTCATATGTTTTACTTTCTTTTTTTAGAGGTTTTGCCATTTTTCTTCAGTCTCTTAGTCCTCAACTTTTGACGATGCAATTTGTTATGGAATTTAATTTATAAACCGACCGTTTAATACGTGTTTTATTCATGTTGTTACAACCATTAACTGTGTAACAATTTGGAGCTATGTTCATAAATTAAGATTGAAGACTTCATTCAGGTGTTAAAATTGGCTACAGTGTTGTCGACTTTCCACTGTCCATTGAAATTGCTGAAACCACCGTTTAATGAAGACAACCCCCTACGCTGCCACTTGTATCACATGATACACCAATATCCAGAATCTCATAATCGTCTTGATACTGTATTCTTAAATCAGATAAAGCATCAGCCATTGTTTTTAGTACAACTTCCTCTGTAATTTTAGAAAATTTAAAAATAAGTTTGTTATATTTTTTTTGCCATGTTCATAAGGGTTGCAAACCTTTCAATTCCGGAATATCTCAATCCAAAAGTCCTCATTGTGTAAACTGTTCAAGTGTTTATATCATAGTTTCCTTTTTTATTAATTAATTTAGAAGTATAAAATTTATTTTGATATTTACACTTTGAACAAACAATAGAAAGCCCACAAGCAAGCCGTTGCTTTTTGCTTTTATTTTCAATTCATGTATAAGTTGTTTGGAGACAAGTTTGACAGCCCAAAACGTTAATAACATCCGACAAAATCTAACTACATACAAAACCTAAATACATACAAAAAACAAAAAAAAAATCAAACAATAAATAATTATATATCTTGTCACGTCTTTGTTTTTAATGTTGGCGTATTTTTGAACTGATGACTCCTTCAACCTTGCGAAAAGATAAGTTTAACGTATAGAAGATGTCAGTTTGACTATTTATATTTATTTATCGGTATTTACACTTGAAGAAGGAAAATTTACATTATTTACACTCGCACTGCTACATAATACTTTTCCATTATTAATTCTCTTTCTTTTGCCTGCTCGTTTAGGTCTTACTTTATTCTATTTGCCTTAACCATGTTTGAAATCTTAAAAATATAAAATTTTTGGCAAGGAAATGCGACAGAAATTGAGCTACAAATCAACAAAAACGAATTTAGCCTTCATATACCAAAAGTAATGAATTATTAAGTCAAACAAGAAGCCAAAAATGCTTTCAACTTGTAAAACTAATATGTTGTATTGCTTTGAAAGAGACTTTTTTAGGGGTACAATTTTTTTTTTTTTATTTTTTTTTGCACCTAACCAAAAAAAAAAAAAAAAAGTTTTGATATTTAGAAAACTTTTTATGAAAAACACAACGATTTCTGAAATCTCCCTTTTGTTGTCTAAAACAAATTAAATTTTTTTTTTAATTTTTAAAAATTTCTATACCCCTTAACATGTTTTATATGTGACATTGAAAATACACACTTACGGTATATTTATGGAAAACAGACCACAGAAGTATATTTTTGATTCGGAAGGTCAATTAACTATATACTAACTAAATTAAATAAATGCATATAAACTGTATAATGTATAAAATAAAAAATAAAAACAAAAACTATAAGTCTCTATTAATGCCACTAACAATGAGTTGATTAAGGCGAGTTCATTCGAAACATAGTCTGCAATCGCACGGTGAGATTTCTTTCAAACCGCTTAGTCATTAGTCAAAGAAAAAAATTTATTTTATAAATATTGCTATAATAATACTATAATATAATATTTGTATATAATACTATAAAGTTATACATATATAAACATATATGTATAAAATTATAACATACATAATATATGTATGTATAACAAAATACTTTTTACGTAGATTAGCTTGTTACTTAAAAATATACTGTTTAGCTAACAGATTTTATATATATATATATATATATATATATATATATATATATATATATATATATATATATATATATATATATATATATATATATATATATATATATATATATTATCAAATACACGGAAAGATGCATAGTTTTTTTGCAAATGTAATGCAATAGAGGATGGTATGAAAAAAAGAACGCGAGTTCATCGTACTTTTTTAAGTAAGCATTGTTTTAGACAATTCTTTCTTACGCTTCATGTAAACTTTAACAATCACCAAAACAACCCCTTTCAAGAATCTTCTCTTATACAAGTCTTATGTTAGAAATACATTACGCAACTTGATAACAGTTTAAACTTGTTTTACTAAATACTAAAAAATCCAAAAACATTTGAAGATTCAAAAGAATCTAGAAAATGAAGGATAAGATTCATGTCTTTTACCCAATATCGATTTTTAACGCGGTGTATACGCACGTGTAATTTATGAAAATAAATGCTAAGGAGATTTGCATCTTTCTAAGAAACATCTTGTTTGGTTAAGGCATCATTTTTACTTGAGATTTTACAATAGTCTTGTAGCCTACTGATAAAATTTGTTATGTAAGCTGTATGTTGCACATAACTATTCCAAAAATTATTTAAATATATTTGTTTTTATGGTACCTGTATACTAATCAGAACATGCTTGCTGAACACCAAAATCCAAAACTCCACTAACATTCATCTTTCCTCCAAGTAACATTCTATTCAGAATTAATGACTGTGAGGCCACTAAATTTGTTAAACTATCAATTTTAGTGTTAAGCAAAGTGACTTCTCTTAAAACTTTTGTGCTAAATTCTTTTATATCAGCTCTCATTGAACGCATAAATGTTTGTTTTCGTTCATAGGATGGAATTTTGCTATGTGTTTTTGAAATACCAGTTGGATCTTCAACAAAATCGGTGGCTTCGCTTATAAATGGATCTTGGGTACTATCTGTGTGAATATCAAGATTAGACCATTTCTCTTCAACCACCTGTACAGTAATTGCTTCTTGTTTTAGTTGCTTTTCATCAACTTTATTATGAAGTTTAGAAACAATAGTTGTAAGATTTTTTTTCACTTTTGATTTATCAAAATTCAAGTGCTCGTTTTCATTAATTGTACTTAAATACTGTGCTTGCTTGTTCATATTGTGCTCTAATAAATGACTAATAAGATTTTCAGTCGTTGCATATATCGCACCACATTCTTGACAGGTTAAATTGGATGAAGTATCATTATGAAAATCTTCATTACAATCATTATGCAATCCATTATGAAAATCGCTTGGTAATCCATCACGGTTATGTAACCCATTATGAAACGAAGATTTTTCAGAATCATGAACTTCTACAACTTTTTTTTCATGAACTTTCATATGTCTTCTCATCAACCATTTTGTCATAAAAGACTTTGAGCAAACCACACATGTATGCAGACTTTTTCCAGTATGAAGATTTTCATGTCGAGTTAATTGTGTTCTCCAACCAAACTTTCTGCTACAATATTTGCATCTAAAAACATAATTACTTATTAAATTTTCTTAACTAATGTTTCCAATAGTTTAATTTATTCTTTTTTTTTTATAAACCCTTTTTCAGTATTTATCTACTGTAAAATATGCTTTCCTGAAAACAAGATTCCTATGAAAACTGCTAAAAATTCTAGATAATTAATTTAAGTAATTATAAATAAAAATCTAGATAAAATTAATAATATTCTTAGGTGTTTTTCAAAAATTTTTCCCATCCACCTCAAGCTTAATAAGCTCCCCTCTTCAACCTATTTGTTAATTTTTACTTGTTTTTAACAAAAAAAAAAAAAAAACAATATCTAAAAACTTTCAGTTTCTGTTTATTTCTCACCATAGTAAAAAACTTATTTAAGCAAATTAAATAATGAAATTATGATGAAAAATTATGATGAAAAAGCTGTCAAAAAATGTAAGGTGGGTGGGAATGTTTTATTTATGTTGATTAAAACATAAACAAAACAATTTAATTCTAGTATGGCTTGCAATTAAGCCATACAAGAATTAAATTGTTTTATTTATGTTGAGTAAAACATTCCCACCCACCTTCTATATTAAGACCACCCACATTAATTAGATCTGGACTAAAATTCCCCCCCCCCCCTTGTATTAAGCATGCAAGAGTAATTAACTAAATGTTAAGAAAAACAAGATTATATGTTAATATGTGAAAAAAGAAAAATGTTAACAAAATGGTAAAATACACACACAAAAAAAATGTTAAGGACAAAACTGACATTCAATAATCTAAGCAAATCATACTTCTGTATCTAAACAAACCATATTTCTGCAGACCTTGACAGGAGTAAATGATTGAGAAAGTGGAAAAAAGCTCTTCTAAAAAGAACATGGTGAGCCATTTGAGCTCCTCCTCTAACAGCTTTTTATGAGAGCTTTCAGTTAATATAATATATATATATATATATATATATATATATATATATATATATATATATATATATATATATATATATATATATATATATATATATATATATATATATATATATATATACACACACACACACACACACACACATAGGAGTTATTCTAGACTGTTTTTGATAGGGTCGACAATATTTGGGCGCCGCCCAAATTAAATTTGAGGACCTTTTTTTTTTCACAAAAAATCTTTGTTTTTCTGCTAAAGTTCACCAGAATGAGGGGGTACTGCTGCCCAAATTTTTTTCCTAGAATAGGTCCTGATATATATATATATATTTTATAACCGTGCCTTTAAAAAAGCATTTCAGTTTATTATACAATTATTAGTTTATTTTTAAAATGACATTTTCTTAGTTATTGTAACAAAGAAAATGTCATTTTAAAAATAAACTAATAAATGTAAAATAAACTACAATGCTTTTTTAAAGGCAAGGCTTTTATAAAGTTGTTTATAATAGATAATCCTTTTCTTTTATAAACAACTTTGCGACCATATTATCAATAATGTTATAATGATATCACACGTTATTTTTTATAAAAAGTTGACAAGCTGTAAGCCATTTAGTTAAAATATAATCTTAAGCATTACAAAAAACTCAGTAATTTTTATGCAAAACAAATAAACAATTGTATTTTGCAAGCAAAAAAACTCAATCTGAAACTCAAACTTTGTCTTTTTTATTTGTCTTGTCATTTGCACAAGTTTTTTTAATTTTCCTAATCAACATCTAAAAATAGAGAAAAAAAGAAAGTGGTTTAAATTTATGAAAAATTATACTTTTGCGGGAGCCAAAATTGCTCCCGTAAACCACTTTAGGGGAGTGTGGGTGAGACTGAGAGCTAAAGAATTCTTGTTTCCTGCAAAGGCCTGCTTCTGTATCCAAACAAATCATACTTCTATATCTAAACAAATCATATAAATTAAGAAAAATAGTAAGAAGATACCTATACAACATCAAATGGTGATCAAAACATTAAGTGATGATCACAACATCAAGTGGTGATCACAACATCAAGTGATGATCACAACATCAATTGGTGATCACAACAACAGGTGGTGATCACAACATCAAGTGGTGATCACTACATCAAGTGATGATCCCAACATCAATTGGTGATCACAACATAAAATGATGATCACAACATAAAGTGGTGATCATAACATCAAGTGATGTGTAAAAAATATTACAATCAACAACTTTTAAAGCATAAAACAATGGTATTATGCGAAATAGCTTTTCAATTCAAAACATTTTTTATGGTGTGCCTACTTCAAGGTCAAATACATTGGTTATTGGAAAAAACAATGCGACTTACTAAGTTTGATTATGTTGTAAAATGTCAATTATCCTTATATTCTATATTGGATTCAAATCTGCTAAACTTCTAGACCATAAAGAGAATGGAGTTTTTTTTTTATATATATAAAGGTTGTCACTATACGACAGGAGACATGTTCTGGCTAAAATATTAAATTGAATTCGATTTCAATGGAATATTATTAAACTTAACTTACTTCAAATAGCAATCAAATGTTGGTGGCCCTTAGCCTACGTTGGTGATCTTTGGTCTACTGAGATAGCCTAAATTTTGAATATCCATAGCTCAAAAAGTTGAATAGTTATAAGTAGTTTCTATAATTATATTAAACAACAACATTCTGATTATAATACAACATTAAAAAAGAGTTAAAGCAACTTTTTACAACCAGATTAAAATGTTAGAAAACTTCAGTCACATGTATTATAACTAATGTATCATTATTACCATGTACTTGCTTGATTCATTTCCATCGAATAATGCAAACCCACATTTCATTGTTTATACAATTTTTTTTCCCTATATTATCCATTCTAAATCAGTTTAAGCAAAAACTATATCATAGTTTAAGCAAAAACTTCAATAATATAAAAAATATATATAAAAAAGACGCTTTAAGTAAACATGCCAACACCATTCCAATTGTTTGCAGAGAAAGACTAAACATTTTTATTGTGACACTACGACTGAGAAAATTCAAAGTTTAGAAACTACTTCTAAACTTACCCACAACTCCCCTCACAAGTCCTCCTGACTGGTTTTATATCAGAGTTTTCTTTTTTCAAGGTAAACCGCCATCATAACAAGCCTTAACTGCACTAAAAAAGAATCAGCCAATCAACAAGCTTTAACTGCACTAATACAAAATCAGTATAAAATTATGACCATACCTACCTTGAAGGAATAATCATAAACTTTGTGAGTTTAAACTCTGTATCTCCTCTTATAAAGAGAATCCTCTATGACCACTATTACATAGTTTAAAGCAGTAAAAAATTGATGGTTTTGGAAAAGAAAATTATTAAAGCAGTTAAAAAGTTGAGGGTTTTGGAAAAGAAAATTATGGAAAAGCAAAAGTAAGATAAAATTAAAAAAGAGTAACAATTAAACAAATATTATGAATAAAAAAAACTAAAGAGAAGTTTTTAGCAGGTAAAAACAAACAAAATTAGAACAAGAAGTTTTTAGCAGGTAAAAACAAACAAAATTACCGGAACTAAAGTAGCAGAGATGGAGAACTTAGAAGATAGAATAAAAATAAAACCATCATCGTACTTATTATATAATTTAGAATAGAAAAACCTTATAAACTTTGACAGGTAAAATAGGTACAATAAAAATCATCACAACTATATTATTAGTAATAATAATTTACTTTTAGTATTTACTTAACTTATCAAAAAAAATTTTCTAGATCAAAAAAAGATAAATTTAGTAAACATTTCAACATATGCTAAATTTAATTAGAAATGTTGAAAAATTTAGTTATAAATTACTGTATCGCATTTTAAAAACTGAACACTTGAACATCAGATTGAATAAAAAACTAATAAATAACATTAAAAAAAAAAAGCTAGAGTTTAAGTAACATAGCAACCAGGCAAGGGTAGAAATTGCAATTTTCGGTCTTTGAGACATGAAGACTATTCTCAACTAGATTTATATTCATTGGTGAACTTTTATAGTTTTTCAAAAAACTTCATAGTATAATATTTTAGAGTTCAAAAATTATGACCATATAAAGTTTGACCCCACTCAATTTGAGGGGTTACAAATTTTATATGGCCCTAATTTTAGAACACTGAGAGATTATACTATGAAACTTAAAATTTATTGATGAATATGAATCTAGTTAAGAAAAGTACAAAAAAAATATTTTATCAACTTGTTGCTTTCACAATTAGGGCAGGGGGGAAACAAAAATTTTGGTCCTGGTCTCTATATTCCTAATTTAAAACAAAACATAAAATGAGTTTAAATAAAATTTGAACTAGATATGGATAGACTCCAATATAAATGATATATATTGAACAAAATTTAAAAAATTAAAAACTTTTTGTTTGCATTCTTTTTTTTTTCTTTTTTGCATTTTTATTTTTATTCTGCTAAAACTCATAAAATTATTTTTTAAATATAAACTTATTTTAAATTGAAGTATCCAAAAATATTGGGAATGCTTAATGGTTTCTTGATGACAAGACCATTGGTGTTCTACAAGTTCCCACGCGTTCTTTAAAGTAATTTCTGATACTTCACAGTTTATTTTATTCATTCTTTGTATAACACAACTTTGTGATTTTTTTTTTCAACTTTACTATACTCTGTAAAAGATTATATTATATATTACGAACTTGTAAAAATTAAAGACCAAAAAATTAAAAATATATATACATACATATATATATATATATATATATATATATATATATATATATATATATATATATATATATATATATATATATATATATATATATATATATATATATATATATATATATATATAATTATAATAGATAAATATAAATTGAAAAAGACAAATTGAAAAGTTAAAATTTTATTATTTACTCATAAATATAAATTAATTTTTAATTTAAAAATGTAAATAATTAAAGATAATTAATGTCAAACCATTATGCAATAAAGGTGATGAGTATTGATATTCATAATTATAATAGAAAAATTCTTAAATAACAAGATGAGTATTCAAGATAAACTAAAAGCTACTGTTGCAGACAGAAATACTTTACTTTCTTTATTATGAAGCTACAAGTAATTTACTATATGTGTTTACATATATATTGTTACTATATAATGTTTGCATATAATAACCAACTTGAAAATTATTATAAATATATCATTAAAGTGATGTCATATCATTTAATTGATACTAACAGTTTGTGAAATATCTTAATAGGTTGTAACAAGTAATTTGCATTTAAATTTTAGATTCCATTCTAATATGCATAACAAATAATAAATTAAAATAGTAGATAAAAATAAATAATAAAAAGCAGTTCAAACAAGTAAACAAATGAATAAATAAGACAGCATATAAAAAATCAAAATTAGACAGAGCAAAATATTAAAGCAACAGAACAAATAATTAGTGCGAACAAATAAGCAGTGTGCAAAATGTATAAACATTAATTATATTGTTAACTCAAAATGTATCAAACACTACTTAACATCGATTTACAAGATTTTTAAACCCTGAAAAATACCTGAATTTTTTTATTCCAGTATGTACATTTAAATGACTTTTGAGAGAACTAGATTGTGTGAAAATTTTGTGACAAATTGGACATTGTTTTGAATTCTCAATAAGATAATGCTGTATGCGATGTGTTATAACTTCTTCTTTTTGGTCTTCCTCATGACCGCATATATCACAACACCAAGACCCATTGGAGTTTTGTAATAACACAGGTTCTCTAATAGTCTTCAATTCCTGATCCTCAAACATTCTAATGATAAACAAAACAATTTTTAGATTCCTTGAGTAACTTCCAGAAATTTAAAAAATATGAATATACATACTTATGACAAAAAGGTATACTTTTATTATATATAATGAAATTATAAAATGCTCTAAATCATCGCTACTAATTATCTTTTATTTAATTTTATTTATGTGATGTTGTGACTTATTAGGAATGACTTTTTTTACATGTAAATGGATGATTAAAATAGGACTCTTCAAAACATTAGCGTAAGCGCCGAAAATTAAGTACTTTCGTTTTAGTAAAATCATTCGAAAAAAGAATTTGCAAAAAGAAAATTTTTTTAAACCAAGTTTTATAAGTTAGGTAACACCAAGTTAGTACTTTAATGCGGACGAAAAAACAAGCAACACTATGAAAATTTGTTTTTACGACGGGTGCTATCTAAATTTCGGCTGTTAAAGTAATAAAAATTGATTTCTGCAGATGCCACAAATCTGATACAATGTGGTAAAATGCTGGTCTAACAATCAAGAAAAGATCTCCTTATGATAACAATTGTGATATGCACCGCTACCACCAAGTTATGTAAAAATACTTTTATGTGTTTTAATGTCTAAAAACGTGATTATACAATAAAGTTTGATACCAATTAACTTTTTTCTTCAAAAGATTACTTATTAGCCCTATTAACGTGCAATTAATACCTAGTTACTATTTCGATGGGATAAAGATAAACTCTTGTTTTTCAACGAGAGAGCCTATATTAAAATTTCATATATAGGGAAAAACGGAGCAAGATGGCAAATCATATAACAAAAAAACTTAAAAACGGGTGAAAACAACACTGTATTAACATATTTTTAAACACTATTGGTTTAAATATTTTTAATGCAACTTTATACACATAATTATGCGTGTAAAATGTAACTTGTAAAATGTACCCCAAGAAGTAACTTTATATAAAGTTACTCTTTGCGCTTAAAAGAAAATACCTCGGCTTTGGTTATTCATAATGTATGGAGTCCTTTGGGTGTAACTTTTTTTCGGAATACTTTTTAAGGAATATTTGCAAACTGGAAGTTCATGCAGGCAATGAATCATTATTAAAACATAAACATGATAAGCATAATTACTTAGAGCACAAACGTCTATATGAAAGAACTAAAAAAATAGCCAGAACTACATACTTCAAAAACAAGCTGTTAGAACTAAAAGGTAACTGGAAAAAAACGTGGGTTGCAATTAAAGAGATTCTTGGAAAACAAAAAATACATAACAAAGTCTTACCAAGCGTGATTACTGTAGACGGCATATAGATCTCTGATGTAAAATCAGTGGCAACAAAATTTAATGAGTTTTTCGTAAATATTGATCAAAACTTAACCAGCAAAATTAAACTCACTCCTGCACATTTCTTGAGCTATCTATCGAAGTCAGATAAAAGCTTAGCATTTAAAAACTCACTAGTAAAGAGCTTGATGATTCAATAAAAAAATTAAATATAAATAAAGCAACATGCTATGATTCTATTTCAGCAAGCATAATCAAAGACTGCTATGAACTAATTAAAGACTTTTTATTAGATATTTTTAACAAATCGCTTAAAACAGGTGTTTTTCCAGATAAAATGAAAGTTGCAATTATTAAACCCATTTTTAAATCAGGAGATAAAAGTCTGGTTACAAATTATCGACGTATATCGGTATTACCTGTTTTTTCAAAAATCCTCGAACGTATCATGTACAATAGGGTATTTGCATTTTTGTATGATAACAATCTTCTTTATTATAACCAATATGGTTTTCGATCAAATTACTCTACTTATGCAACTTGTTGAAGTTATCAGTGGAGCATCTTCTCATAACAAAATCACCTTTAGTATATTCCTAGACTTGTCAAAAGCATTTGACGCCGTTAACCATCAGATTTTATTAGAAAAACTAAAATATTATGGAATAAGCCACGAATACCATAAATGGTTTACCAGATACTTAACTGATCGAAAGCAGTTTGTTTCTATAAATGATTGCTTTCAGACAAATAAACTTAAAATATCATGTGGGGTTCCATATGGCTCCATCTTAGGTCCGCTTCTGTTCTTAATCTATGTCAACGATCTATATAAAGCATCAAACACTATGTCTACTATTATGCTTGCAGACAACACCACTTAATTCTATTCTCACAGTAATATTATCTCTCTATTTCAAGTAGCAAATAATGAGCTAGAACAAATATCAAACTGGCTTATCGCTAACAGCCTATCTTTAAACACTGATAAAACTAAGTTTTCCTTATTCCATTCTAAACGAAAGTTTCAATATATTCCAAAATCCTTACCAATGCTATATATAAATAACATCAAAACTGAGCGCTCATTCATAAATAAAATACTTGGTATTTTAATAGACGAAAACTTATCCTGGAGAGATCATATTAAACATATTAGCAATAAAATCTCAAGAAGTATTGGCATTTTATATAAAAACAGACAAATCTTATACAAATCTACACTAACTTAACTATATTTTGCATTCATAAATAGTTATTTATCTTATGGCAATATTGTTTGGGGTAGTACAAATAAATCTAAACTCGACTGTCACCTTAAACAACAGAATCATGCAGCACTTTTCATACAGCATTATTCATTTTCAAAATCGCTTCACAAATGCTAAACCTCTTCTAAAAAGCTTGAGGGCACTTGATATTTATGAACTAAATATTTTCAAAATTACACAATTTATATTTCAACATCAGTAAAAAAAAACGCCGAAGGTTTTCGAAAATATTTTCCCTAAAACATTAAACCGATACAACATTCGATCTACCGGAAGATTTACGGAAAAATTTTTTAAACCTTTCCGTACATCAAAACTTACGAGCTTTGCCATTTCCTATCGTGGCCCAATGCTATGGAACCATTTTACAAGCCTGAGTAGTAAACTTAAAGAAGCCAATGCCTTTCAAAAATTTAAAAAGAACATAATCAAATTTATTACCAATAAAGATTCTTTTCATGATTTTTTCTAACGATACACTTTTATTTCCAATTTATATTACCAAAGGTTACTGATGATAAGATTTTATCTTCTTCAGGTTCTCCGGTCTCATAACTATTATAAATAATGAAATATATTTGTATTTAATATTTTTAAATATTTTATCGGAAATTACCTTAAACTGTAAATGGTTGCTCAACAAAAATAAATAAAATTAAAAAAATAAAATAAAATAAACAAGCATACGGACAAAGTATTGTTGCTTCGTAACTGATAGAAATGATTGCAATATCTCAGGGCTTTCAAAACGTTCACCATCTTGACCCGTCTTTCCCTAATATCTGCCTAACGTTTCATTCTCTTTTAAAATATTTAGCTAGATCTAAACATAACCTGTGGCAGACAGGCCCACCGGACCACCGTCTACCTAGCCGGTGGGCCTTATGAATGAATTAAAATAAAAATGGGAAAAAAGCTAAACATTTATGCTACTTCCAAATATTCTCTTCTCTTTATTGATAATATTAAATAAAGCAAACTAATGTTACATAAATTTTATATTGACGAACCTCACATGCAAAAAATATGTTAATATTCTAAACAACAAAATTGCTAGAAGTATAGGAGTACTATACAAATCAAGAAGTTTCCTAAATAAACATACTTTAATCCAATTATATTATTCATTTATTCATTTCTTGGGGTAGTGTTAATTAGGGTTTCCAATCAGTTATATCGAAAAATTTCTGGTCAAAACCGACATAAATAAAAACAGTCGGTTTTTGCGGGTTTTTTGTATATGTCTTTTGAATGTTTATTTATTATAGAAAGGCATAAAAAAATCAAATTTGTAAGTACAGTAAACTCCCAGTTATTCCAACTTGCACTTGTTTGAATTTCCTGCTTATTCGAAGCAATTTTCGTTCCCCGTTAATTTTCCTTAACAAACTCATGCAAATATCCATCAGTTATTCGAACCAGCAGTTATTTGAAATTTCGTTTATTTGAAGTAATTTTTTGCTCTCCTACTCAAACACCATGTCAATTATTAGAAGTTTTCTTTTGGCTCAAGATACAATTGCATTGCATTTCGAAGTTAAACTTTATTGAATGTAATCAAAATATATGTATGTATATATGTAAAAAAAAAAAAAAAATAACGTCTTCAAAATATAAAAAATTGAACACATTAAACGTAGTGTAATAAAAATTTTAACGTGGAGTTTAGGCGAAAAAAAGCAGTCCATGCTCGTACCGTGAGGGTTATCGGGTGCGATCGATCACCCTTTTTTTAATAAGCTCTCTTTGTTTCACGCAAATTTCATAGCAAAAATTGAGCAAAAATGTCAAATTATCAATCAAAAATAAAATCTTGCTTTTAAAAATTGGTAAAAAATCAAACTAAAAAGAATATTGCCGAAAAGTTTAGCGTTACTTAAAACACTTTAACTTAATGGGTTAAGCATTGAGAAGACATAATCAAAAAGAGTCATTCAATTTGGAGCTAAGAGAAAAAAGTTAACTATTGGAAAGCATGATTCCGTTGATAAAATTTTTTTGATAAATTATAAAGATTTTATTTTTCAGTTTTAAATTTGTTTTTTAGAAGGTAAAGACTTAAACAGCTTACTTCAAAGTTTTTCTTCATTATTACTTTCTTCTCCAGTTAAAATTTGGATGTAACTAGAAATAGGTACTTTAAAGAAGATTTTCAGTTATTCAAACTTTCGGTTATTCGAAGTAAATTCTAATTCCCGTAGAAGGTTCGAATAACCGTAAGTTTACTGTGATAAAATTTTTATTTTATTATTCAGATTGTATTTTGATGGAAAACTTAACGCGTCTTTTCATTTTCAAAATTATTAATTAGAGAATGGCCTATTCTTTATATTAAAAATTTTTATTCCTTAAAAAAACGTACGGGTATTTTTAGTGTTTATTTTAGGTCAATAAAATATTAGCGTATAGGTATGTAATAAAAAAAAATTCAAGATAATTTTTATATCTAATATATATAATTATTCAATTATTGGAAAATATTTTTCATGAAAATATATTTTGAAAATATATCTTCCAGATAAATCATGTCATCAGTTTGGAAATTTGCTGACTGGCGTAAAATTCTAAATTTAAGAGATGTTGAAGGCATCTGTAATAGATGCAGTTCTGTTGTAATATGCTCCGGTTGATCCACAACTACTTTGCAGAATCATATTTTTCCATCAATAGCCTTTCTACTAGAATTAAACAGCACCTTAAATCCAACACACAAAAAAAGTTAAAACCATGGATAGTTATTTAC